GCATATCTGGGAAAACCCAAATCTGAGATTTCCAGACTTTCCCTCAGTAAATCAAAAGTCCAAACCCATCCCCTGTAACCATCAGTCCATCACATGGTCCAATCCCAATCCATCTCAACTCGAGACATCACTTCAACCACTCCTCCTCCAGATGCAGAAATACCATGATCTTGACTGAAAAGAAGAATGGTATTATGTCTAACTACATCCCCTCTACTAAATCCTCCCTCTTTTCCAAGAATGTGGCAGCGTGGAAGCTTCTGATGTTAATATAGCTTCCAAAGCTGACACAGGGAGCCACTCCTTCCCCAAAACTCTCATCCGGGGGAAAGGGACCAATACACTCGCCTTTCCCTTCCAGCCCCAGGATTCTCCAAGCAGTCTTCCCAGGCTTGGTTACAGAACATTCAGAGGATTGCAGAAGCAAGATTGCAGAAGGTAGCCAAAAAAAAAGCCAACTATGCTGTACTGAAAATTTAGCAGCAGTGTATCCTACAATGTTTCATGAAGTTTCCAATTCCAAGCTCCCATTCGCCAGTTAATCTCAGGAAATTCCAATGGCAGCCTGCCACTCTCCACAGTATTATTAACCACGAGTAGGCCCAGCTGTCGACAAAGGCCAGTGAAGCTTGTCTCTTCTGTCAGCTCTGCCTGCATCAGCTGACCCCCACCATCAATTCAGAGATGCAGCTGCTGACTTCTTGGTTTCTCAGACCAGGGTTTAGCTTCAATCGGGAATCCGAGGGGAGTCCGGGGAGAGACCAGAGAAGTCATTCAATCATAAACCATCTACTTCCTCTGCTCCATCTCTCCGTCTCACCTTCCAACGGTCACTTTCCAACCTCTCCACTCTTTCAGCTCTCAGCCTTTCTGTTTCTTCACCTCTCAGTTTCTTCAACAAATACCAGCCTCTCAGTTAGCTTATCAAGCTTGTCTCTTTCTTGCTTTTCTCTCTACACACTCCTCCACTTCCACATACCAATCTCTACATTCCAAATTTTCAAAAACCCTCTCTGCACAACACATTGGAGCACTATCTACAAACACATGCAGCTGCTGTCGCCATCTTAAAAATTTTTTTTGTTTAGTTATCTTCTATTCTGCTGTCACCAGGTTTCAGCAGTTAAGTCTGGGATGTTATGTGGCAGGTGTTTGTTTATTTGAATTCTAAAGTTCCAGAGCATTTATCTTCATTTTCTATTACTTTGTCTATTTTGTGGTCCCATCAAACTCGCATCCATTCTTGAAGTACTACCTTTACTATAGCATGGCATATAAAAAGAATCTTAAAAAATAACTCAATGTAAAATAAGTTTTAATTTTAGAGTATCCTTGATATGTTTTGTTTGTCAATTCTTGATAGTAAAAGTACACCCATTTTAATGCACAGGATGGTTGTTTTTTTTTTTTACTGTGATTTAACATTTCCCTAATATGTAACTTGCTTTTTACAATACTGAGATCTGGCACAGAGTTGATTGATTGTGTATTTTTTATTGTGTTTCAGGCCCGTACTCCTTCACAGTGGAGAATTGACCCCAGTGAAGGGGTTGTTCCTCCAGAGGCAGAAATATCACTTGCTCTTATTGTTAATTTGGATGATACCGTATTGTTTCAGGACAAAATCAACCTGGCTATAGAGAACAGTAATTCTTATATTATTCCAGTCCTGGCCACTGGCATTGGAACTACCATTGTCACA